ACCGATCGTAACAACACAACCGGATCCGGACCAACCCGTTTTGCCTGAGACTTCCTCACGAAAATGATGAAAATGAGGCTGCGGCCTAGGCGCGGCGGGGGGGTCGTGCACCAGGGGCCCCAACAATAATTATTCTCTAGAAGTAATAATGTTCAACAACAACAACAACAACAACAACAACAACAACAACAACAACAACAACAACAACAACAACAACGACAACGACAACGACAACGACAACGACAAGAACAGCAACAACAACAACAACCTCAACAACAACAACAACAACAACAACAACAACAACAACAACAACGGCAAAAACAGCGGTAGTAACAGCACCAACAACAGCAACAACAACAACAGCAGCAGCAGTAACAAGAACAACAGCAGCAGCAGCAACAGCAACAACAACAGCAACAATCATTTTGAAGACTGATCGCCCTTATCTGCTCGAGTGTCCAATAACGCGTATTTCCCAAACCCTCGATACCCGCCCGATTCGTCTTCGATCGAACCCCTTTTGGGGGGTATACCTTTCTTCCCTACAGGCCGGGCCCCGGCAAGCGGCGGGGCGGCCGCGGACCGTCGGCGTCGGCCTGGCCAGCGGCAGCGCTGATCGGCGGGGCGGCCGCGGACCGTCGACCCGACCCCAAGAGGGACGGACAGGGGACCGACCACGACGACGACGACGTCGACGACGACGGCGACGACGACGACGACGACGGCGACGACGACGAGCGAAAGCGAGAACGAAAGAGAACGACAGCAGGGCCACAAGGACACGAAGTAGGCCACGAAGGGCAACAGCGGGGACACGAAGGGAATGCGTATGGGACCACGACGAGCGCGAACACGCGGGGGCCACGAAGGGCAGATAATGCGGGGCCACAGAAGGCAACGAGGGTCCACTGAGGGTAGCAACTGGGCCACGTAGGACAGATGCATATGGGGCCACCACGGGCGCGAACGAGCGGGGGCCACGAGGGGCATACATAACCCGGAGAAGCAATTAAGGAACCCCCCGGCGTTATCATTAGCACCGCGCCGTAATTAAATAATTATTTGGGGGGGTTTTCGCCGAGCGATATTATTAGCACCGCGCAAATGGAAGGAAAATAAATAATTCCAGCGCCCCGCCTCGGGTGGCATCCCAATTAGAATTGTAATGAGAATAAGAATACCCCCTGCGATCTGGTGTACCCCCTCCTGGTGCCAGGATAACGCTTCCGGGTGCCGGGTGCGTTATCCTTTCACCGGAGAGGGGGGGGGGGGTCCTTAATCGCTTACTCGGGTTATATGGGGCCACGTAAGGCAGCGAGGGGGCCACGAAGGGCTGCAACGGGGCCACGAAGGGCAGCGAGGGGGCCACGAAGGACTGCAACGGGGCCACGAAGTGCTGCAACGGGGCCGCGAAGGGCAGCGAGGGGGCCACGAAGGGCTGCAACGGGGCCACGAAACAAAGCGAGGGGGCCACGAAGGGCTGCAGCGGGGCCACGAAGGGCAGCGAGGAGGCCACGAGCGGCTGCAACGGGGCCACAAAGGGCAGCGAGGGGGCCACGAAGGGCTGCAACGGAGCCACGGAACAAAGCGAGGGGGCCACGAAGGGCTGCAACGGGGCCACGAAGGGCAGCGAGATCCCGATTCTTATGTAATCTGTGAGGGGGTCCTAAGCGTGAGCGCGACTCCTGGGTGCCTGGGCGTCGGGAGCGCGGCGCTTGAGTAAAACGCAAGAAAGTCCAACGCAAGGGCGCTATTCTCTAGTAAATTGCAAGCAAGTCTCCAGCGAGAGCGCGACTCCAGAGCGCCGGGAGAGCGATTCCTGAATCAATTGTAAGGAAGTCCCAAGCGAGAGCGCGATTCCTGAATAAAATGCGAAGTCTCGGGCGGGAGCGGGGGTCCTGGCTAAATTGTGCGGAAATCTCAAGCGGGAGCCGTTGTTGTTGTAAACCGGGGGCCAACGACACAATTTGACCCTCAAGACTTTCCCTAATAATAAACAAGGTGCGAGCCCCCGGAAGGGCACTTCAATCGAAAAAAAAACAATGTGCACCGGACGGGGGGGATCAACAATAACTATTCTTCAGATATGAGAATTCAACAACAACAATCCGCACAGTGGAAGCCCACTTCAGCCACACACCTTGGGACAGTGAATGACCGTTCGGCCTCTGACTCTAATTTTGAGGGAGGAAAAACGACTCTACCCTGGGTTACAAGTACGTGGTCTGTAAACCTTCTGGGAACCCCCAAAGCCTAGAGCCGCCAGGACGCGGCACATCACGCAGGGTCCACCCTGTCAACCCACAGGAGTTTCAGCGCACAACGCCTCGTAAACCAGGGTAGGGGCGTTTTTTATTATGCCCTTGATAATTATTGTTCGACACCCGGCCGGGGTGCGAAAGCCGCCCAGCCTAGGAGAAATTGGGCTCTCAAGGTCCTTCGCGTCCTTCCTGGCGTCTCCCGACTCTGGGCTGACAGCGGCCAGCATTTCGCCAGAGGTGCCCAGGGATCAGTGGTCAATTCCTGATTGGGTCGGCCAGGCCCGACAGCAGCTTGGCTTCATAGAAGCACTGGAACGCCCATTGCAGGATGCTGGGGTGCACCAGGTAGCACTCTGCCAGGAATCTGTTGAGTCGCTGGGGCCCAGCGAGTCATGGAACCACTGCATGACAGAGATGGACAGGCCCACGGCTGACGCGCGCTCCGAGATGACCGTGGGGCTCAGTCTTTCGCCGCCTATGATGATAACTCAACCGCCTGCCCGTGCCAGGAGCATCAGGGAGATGATGGCCAGGGCCTCCGTGGACTGCCCAACCTTGTCCAGGATGCCCAGCAGGCCGTCGGACAGTGCTTCGCGTCCAGGTCGGCTGCGAGTTCGTGGGTGGCTCGGATGAGCTTGGTCTCGCTCAGCAGTTCTTGTTTGAACTTGTCGGAGGGCCTGGGGCAAAACCATTCCCCGAAGGGTGGTAACCCCTGGCTGCCAGGAACAACTTCCTCGCCCGGGTCAGATCCGCGGCCGCTGCGCAGGTGGCCTTGTCCTCGCGCGCCAGACGCGCTGTGGAGTTGGGGCAGTCGGTGGCTGGGCTGAGGCGACCAGCCCCGGGCCTCTGCCATGTGCTTGGCGGACATGTCCGCGGCCTTGTCAGATCCGGCAAACAGGCCGACCGCCCAGCCAGGGGGTACACAGGGCACCCACAGATCCATGGCTGCGGCTATGGTCTTGGTCTTGCCTGTGCCAGGCGGGCCGTGCACCAGGAGCACAACGAGTCGGAACTACTGGGCCAGGACCAAGGATTGCAAATAGTTGAGCCCGTACCTTTGGGCCGTCTCCTTCGCGCTGGCCAGTGTCGGATAAGCCCGCTGGAACAACTGCCCCGGGCATTCGTCGACCTGGTCGTCGGTTGGGCCAGGCCCTGTGGCTTAGGCCGTGGGGCCGTCGGGATCGCCGAGGTCGGGCATCGCCTGGGACAAGGGTAGCGGCGGCCGGCTGTCGGAGGGCGGCGCTGGCCCGGGCCATCCGCAAGACAGAATTGGCGGCCTCCTTGCCCGCGACGTCAGCGGTCTGGACGGAGAGCACGTGGGATATCACAGCCAGGGGTGTGCCCCGCAGCGTGCTCGCAGCCGATGGAACAAGAAGACGTCCTGGATGGCGCTCCAAGCCCAATTGACCGGCATCGAAGGCGGGGCCTGGTCGATCCGGCACCAGGGATCGTCTGGATCTTTCGGCCTGGTGGCACATAGTGCAGCGGGCGTCATGGGCAGCAATAAGGTACCCCGTCGGATATCGCGCGCCAGGTCTGTCAGGGACTGGGCTGCCTTGTACAGGTGACCACGCCGCCCTCATGTTGGCTATGTGCGCTTTGACCAGGGATCTGCAAGATACGTAGATCCGGACGTCCCCGTTCATCCTTGGGACAGTCCAGGCGAAAGGCGGTCTTCCATGAGAAGAGATAAAAACTCCGAGGACCCAGGTTTGTGGTCGCTCAGTCGGTTGCGGAGCTCGAAGCCACAGACTATGTTGTGCGGCCGTGCGGGTCATCCATCCACACATTTACCGATCATACATCCACTATGGGTACCGGCAACGGGACATACATGCTCCTGAAACTCGCGGATGCCAAACACTCGGCCGGAGAACTGGCCTGGCCGCCACCCTTTTAGCATGTCCAGCACTTCGTGCCCCGGCAAAGGAAGCGTGGTCGAAGACGTGCTACTAAACAACGCGGCCGTAACGATCGCGCTGGGGTTGCCGCCGCGCCCCTACGACACAAGCGGACAGTACTCTAACCCATCCACCCAGCGAAGGTGGATAAGGTCGAACGATAGTTATGATGACGACGGTGGCAAGCAGGAGGAAGGGCAGAAAGAAGAGCGGGAAGGAAAAACTGGGATACAAGTGGTGCCAGCTGCATTGCCTCGGGTGTGTGAGGAGTCATTCCTTCTCCTCTTTCTCATCCTCCTCCTCCTCCTCATCCGCCTCCTCCCTCTCCTCCTTCGCCTCGTCGTCGCCGTCCTTCACCTCAAACTCCTCCCGCACCTTCAATGCTATCCACCGTCCTCCGTGGGACCTGTTTTGACCTTGCCAGAGAAAGTAAGGTCGCCCGCGCGGTGCCGAGTTTCTCTCAGGGCGCGCGAGCGAGTTTTCCTTGTGGGGCCTCCGCTTGAGCACGACTATCAGGACGGCGAGCAGGAGAAAGAGGAACAGGAGGATGCGGGGATCGTCTGTAGGTATACATGCATATGTGTGAAAATGTAAATGTAGGTACATATGTGTATATACATGCATGCCTTTACACATGTGTATATATATATATATATACGTATGATCCCCAAGGGTACCTGCCACCACGTTGCTCCGTCTTTGCTAGGTGCTCTATCCATGCCGACGCGTGCTGAATAGATGTCGTGTCAATTCGTTCATAAGAGAACAAACAACAGATACAATGTCAGCCACTGTGCCTTCTGCTCTTGTTCTTACTGCTCGCTTCATGTGGAGGCACCTGGACCTTACCTTTACCGCCCTGCTTGAGAATGCCGAAGCCCTTCTCAAAGTCCTGCATGTCCTCAGCAGTGCAATGGGATAACGCCCTGTCCCTCGCGACTCCCGCCCATCCTCCACCCCACCGCTCACCTCGTCCTCCTTCTCCCCTCTCTCTGCTCGTCAAACTGCCCCTCATGGATATCCCGAACAGGCCAGGCTCAGGGAGCGGTCCACGAAACCAGAGATGCTAGGGGAACGAACAATGACATAACCATAAAAACTCTGAGGTCCGCGCGGCTTTCCTGGATCGTCGCTACACCCCCCTCCCAGGCGCGCGGAGCGCGCCAGAGGCGGCGCTGGAGGCGCCGCCAGGTGGGGGCCCAGCGCCCATCCGAGAAATTCGCAGTATCCGTTCCCCTAGATGCGAACGAACACCGCGCCGACAACCCACAATGCATCGAGGAGGTGCAGTCGAGACGTGCCCGCACAACAACAAAAGAATGCGCGGGTCAAGAGCACGAGCTCTCCTTCGCCGAGGTCCCAAGGCCCTACAATGGAGGCCAGTCCGACAGAAACCTGCCACAGGAAACCCAACCCTGAGACCCCAGGAAGTCCATTCTTTTTTGTGTGGGGACGTCGCGCTGTCCACAGCAAACCATCGAAACCCAAGAAACCCAGGGCACCCTGGAACAACAAGAAACCCAACCCTGAGACCCCAAGACGACCATTGATGTTTTTTATGTGGGAGCGTCGCGCTCTCCACTGAAAAACCATCGAAACCCAAGAAACCCAGGGCACCCTGGAAACAAGCAGGGTGTTTCTTGGCATGGGTCTGCACTGTATGTGCAGCGCGGCGCGCGCGCGCGCGGCAGCGTGCCCAGATATTCGATGCTATCGGCGCAGCGCGTGGCGGGGCGGCCTCTGCTCCAGAAACCAGATGGCTGCCAAAGACAGGGGAAAACCCTACAGGGAATACCCCCCAACGATTAACGTTCCATAAGGGGCACCCCTACACAACGAGGGTTGTTCTTACCCCTCGTCTTTCTGTGCTCATCCATCTGTAGCAGTGTCGAGGCGGAGTGCCCAACTCACTGAGGTTATGCACCCGATGCGCGCTGCTATGGCGAGTGTTTCCGCCTGAAGTGGCGTCTCTGCGACATCGGTAGCGCCTGACACAGGTCATGATCACGCTCGTAACGCTTAGCACAATCATTAACGCCTAACGACATACTCCTCGTGCCAGCTGAGACGCATGACAACACTACGCTCGCGCTGCTGCAACCTGGTCCGCCCTACCTTGTGGCACGGCGCACGAGGGAAGACACCGTAGCAATGTAGCCAGTAGGTACTTGATGCCGCTGACAAGCTCTGGTTCCATTAGTTCCCAATAGTTTAAGATGTGGTGATTGTTGTTCCCCATCTTCTCGGTATAGGCTTATTGTGATGCACGACCTTCTCAACACATTCAAATTACTCATCCTCAGACTCGCTCACACTCAAACTCACTCAGACTCAGACTCACTCAAAATGAGAGCAATCAGCTCACATTCAGATCACTCCTCATACTCAGACTCGTTCACACTCAAACACAATCTTGAGGAGGAATCGCCTTTCTTCCGGCAGCTGTCACATCCTTGTAACTGCTGCGAACTTCTAAAAACAACGTGCCGTCCCCAAAGCGAGAGTCCCATGATTTTATGTATATAGATATATATATATATGTATATAATGCTCTAGCCTTGTATTGTACCTCATGCAAGCTGGTTTAGCAGCGTTGCGAGGGCGCTACGGCGAGAGGCCAGTTCTGAGAAGGAAGAAACAGATTCTCCTGTAAGCGTTGCAAGCTCTTGAGACGAATGCGCTCAACGCAGGGCTGGACTCAAACGTTGTGCTTCGTTGTGTGTTCGTCTCCATGTTTGTGTTGCTCTACCTGTTGTCCTGCACATCCCCGCCACAACGAAAAACAACACACACAGCCGAAGTCCAGCGGAACAGCGTCAAGGTCCAGCCCCGGCGCGACGCCAAGGCGAGAGCCCCCCTTTTGGAGAGCCAGCACCCCCTCCACCCCCTTTGCAGCTGCTGCGGGCCTGCACGGCGCACGAGCACGGGGCCGAGGCGAGAGCACTGCTCGGAGGACCACCACCCGACCCCCCCCCCCCGAAAACTGTGGAGGCGCACGGACCCTCAAGGCGATGCGGCGGCCGCGCGCCGCAGCACGCGACAAAAAGCACCCACCCCCTTTGCTCGGGGTAAGAGCTCCCACAGAAGCAGGCGCGGTGGCGCTCGGAGCCCGAGCGCCCGGTGCTCACTCGTTTCCTGGTCGGCGGTGGCGAGTCGGACGCATGAGGCGCACATGCAGGCGTGGAGCCGCGGGGCAGCGGGGACAGGTGGACGACTGCGGACGTGGCGCCGTCCTTCAGCACCTTGCCAAGGACGTCCATGGAGCTGCCGCCACCGCCACCTGGGGCAGTGGAGCGAGGGGGGGCGCAAGAAACGAACTGCTGACGGAGTGCCCAACACGGATGCGTCGTCACCGACGCAGGCCTTCCTGAGACGACGTCTGCTTCTAAGCTTCTCTATCGGTTTGGACGCGCGCATTTCGTTGCGCTCAGAAACAACACTGTCGTGCAATGGCACTCGCACGCCGCGAGCCCTTCTCATACGCCCTTTTAGATTCCTCCTCCTCCTCCACCCTGGGGTCGCTGGCCATGGGCCAATGCTTCCGTGTGAGAGCGTGGCGGTCCTCACGCATGTCAAGAAAACGAGGCCATGAAGGACCCGATTCATAATCTATTCGAATTGGCGTTGCTGCAAGGGCGCTTCTGGGTGGTTGCACAACACCCCGCGATCTCAATTCCACTCTGGTCCACTCCTATTCATTATTCATGCTCGCCGTTTCTGCAACTACTCGGAATGATCCGAACCTGGATCAGAGAGCGGGGCGTCGCCGCGAGAAGCATGCACAATACGTAACACGCCGCGCTGAAAAATGCTCGGTCAATCGCAACGGATTCAGTCCGCGAGGACGGCAAGATGACTGCAGCATTGACAGCACTTCTGGATCGGCGCAGTGCTCTCGTTGTTCGGGATGGCGCTCTCGCTCCAGCGCCGCCACACGTCCGGGTACGACTCACTCCTCGCTGTTGCCGTCCCCCCGTCGTATCCCGCCGTTGCCTTCCCCGCTTGCTGCCGCCTCCTCTCCATATTCTGTTCACAAATCCCTCTCGCTGGTTGCACATCGGACGATCGGTGAAGCCCTGCGACTGCCACTGGAAGATCAGAATTTTCATATTGTACGCGTCGTGTAAAACCGCGTCCAGTGGACAGAGCGATGCTTGACGCAATGAGAAAGGATGGGTGGGATGTGCAGGACATCTGATGGGGCGCCAGCCTAACTACCTGGCCTCCACCCTTCTTGTCCTCCTCCTCCTCCTCATTTTTCTCCTCCTCCTCCTCCTCTTCTCTCCTGTTTCCCTTCGCTGATCGTTGCTCGGCGCTGGCCTTCTCGTCGCGGTTGCTCACGTCGCTCGTCGTCATCATCGTTACTCATCTTCCTTGCCCATCAATTGTGGACGGCCACGGCTTCCCAATAAAAATAACAGACCGGGTCGATCATGGCAAATTCGACCACCCCGGAATCTCAAAAAAAACTCCCCGGGTCTTTGCGGGAATCTCCAAGCTCAAAAAAAAACTACCCCGCGAATATCAAAAAAACCTTCGCGCCGATATAACCTCAAACAAAATCTCCAAAACGACTTCGCGCCGCAAGAATCTCCAGATAATTGACAAACAAACTCCACCAAGAACTCGAATCCCAAGAATCACTAAATTATCACCAAATAATCGACAAACCACCTCGCACAACGAAGCCCGTCAATAGAAACGAACGGGGCCGACTCAGTGCCAGGATCGTTCAAAAGGGAATGGAATGTGCCCGGGGCTGCGGCGCAAAACACCCCAGCATGTTGAGGTTCGGAAACAATGCTGGAGCTAGGTCGGGCATGTCCTCCTACAGGCGGATGTTGGACGAAAACTGAAAAATCAAACATGATCAAAAGTATCAAACATAATCCAAAGTCGTCCCCTGACTATGGTTGACAATGTTTGGATACTCCCTCTGTAGAGGGACAGGCCTGACTAAATGCTGGAGGCGGTCTCGGGGACGCTATGGGATCGAGGGCAGACGGGGCGGATCATGAGCAGGTTGGCACGCGAAGACAAGAGGAGGGAGAGGAGGGAGGAGGAACAGGGGGGGAAAGGGGAGGAGAAAGGAGCAGGAGCAGGAGGAGGAAGAGCAAGAGGAGCAGGAGCAGCACGAGGGGAGGAATAGGAGGAGGAGGAGGAGGAGGAGGGGAGGAGAAGAGCAAGAGGATGGGGAGGATAAGGAGCAGGAGCAGGAGGAGGAAAAGCAAGAAAACGAGCAGGATAAGGGAAACAAAGGGGAAGAGGAGGATGGGGAAGAAACGCGCCAAGGAAACATCTGCTCGCATCCACTTCTGACAACCCTGTGCGCTGTGTGCGAACTCCTCCTCCTCCTCCTCCTCCTCCTCCTCCTCCTCCTCCTCCTCCTCCTCCCCTCCCTCCCTCCCTCCCTCCCCTCCCTCCCTCCCTCTCTCTCTCTCTCTCTCTCCCTCCTCCCTCCTGCTTCCTGCCTCCTGCCTCCTGCCTCCTGCCCTCCCTCCCTCCCTCCCTCACCCCCTCCTCCCTTTTACTCATCCCTCCCTCCTCCCTCCCTCCCTCCCCTCCCTTCTTTCTCTCGCCTCCCGCCTCCCGCCTCCCGCTCCCCGCCCCCCGCCTCCCGCCTCCGACCTCCCGCCTCCCTCCTCCCTCCTCCCTGCTCCCTCCTCCCTCCTCCATCATCCCCTCCATCATCCCCTCCTCCCTCCTCCCTCCTCCCTCCCCCTCCCCCATCCCCCCACCTCCCCTACTCCCACCTCCCTCCTCCCTCCTCCGTCCTCCCTCCTCCACACTTACACAATATGAATACTACTTTCCTCTCTCCCTTGGTGGCGTCCGGGAAATATTCGGACCCCTCCGCTTATTCGTCTTTTACACATCGGATGTCCAGGAGTTGGGTTTTCGCTTGGGTTGTTGTCCCAAATGCTGCTCTCGCCGAAGCGCTGACCTCATTTTCGGGCTACCGCTCGTTCCGAATCGTGCTCCCGCTGCAGCGCTGGACTCATTTCCGCGCTTCCGCTCGTTCCGAATCGTGCTCCCGCTGCAGCGCTGGCGTCATTATTTCCAGTGCCATGCCACGGCATGGTTTTCGGTCCTTCCAAATAAGCCCCAAAATCTAGAAAATGGCCTCCCGACAAAAACAATCGGAAGCGATTACACATTCGGAGTCGATACGCTGATGCTTTGGGCCGCAGAACCCCCCCACTCTGGGGCGTCGCCACGTCCTGCTATGACATGCTACGCGTTGATCTTCAACACCATGTCACGTAATGCTATATCATGTTGCGACATCCGATTGTGCGAATAGAGAGGAGATCGACGCCATAGTAAGGGATTGATGACTGGAGGGAGGTGTAGGACGTCAGATATGGCGCGAGCGCACCTAGCTTGCCCCTCCCCCCTCCCTCCTCCCTCCTCCCTCCTCCCTCCTCCCTCCTCCCCCCTCCACCCTCCCTCCTTCCTCCTCCCCCCCTCCCACCCTCCCTCCTCCCGCCTCCCGCTTCCCGCCTCCCCCTCCCGCCCTACTCATCCCTCCCCTCGCCTCCCTCCTCCCTCCTCCCTCCTCCCTCCTCCCGCCTCCCTCCTCCTCTCCTCACTCGCCTCCCTCCCTCCTCCCTCCTCCCTTTCCCTCCTCCCTCCCCCTCCGCCTCCCCCCTTCCTCCTCCCTACTCCCACCTCCCTCCTCCCTCCTCCGTCCTCCCTCCTCCACACTTACACAATATGAATACTACTTTCCTCTCTCTCTTGGTGGCGTCCGGGAAATATTCGGCCCCCTCCGCTTATTCGTTTTTTACACATCGGATGCCCAGGAGTTGGGTTTTCGCTTGGGTTGTTGTCCCAAATGCTGCTCTCGCCGAAGCGCTGACCTCATTTTCGGGCTACCGCTCGTTCCGAATCTTGCTCCCGCTGAAGCGCTGGCCTCATTTCCGCGCTTCCGCTCGTTCCGAATCGTGCTCCCGCTGCAGCGCTGGCGTCATTATTTCCAGTGCCATGCCACGGCATGGTTTTCGGTCCTTCCAAATAAGCTCCAAAATCTGGAAAATAAAAAAAAAAAAAAAAAAAAAAAAAAACTCCCGACTAAAACCATCGGAAGCGATTACACATTCGGTGTCGATTCGCTGATGTTCTGGGCCGCAGAAACCCCCACTTTGGGGCGTCGCCACGTCATGCTATGACATGCTACGCGATGATCTTCAACACCATGTCACGTAATGCTATACCATGTTGCGACATCCGATTGTGCGAATAGAAAGGGGATCGACGCCATAGTAAGGGATTGGAGGGAGGTGTAGGACGTCAGTTATGGCGCGAGCGCACCCAACTTGCCCCTCCCCCCTCCCTCCTCCCTCCTCCCTCCTCCCTCCTCCCTCCTCCCCCCTCCACCCTCCCGCCTCCCTCCTCCCCCCCTCCCCCCTCCCTCCTCCTTCCTCCCGCATCCCGCCTCCCGCTTCCCGCCCTACTCATCCCTCCCCCCGCCTCCCTCCTCCCTCCTCCCTCCTCCCCTCCCTCCCTCCTCCCTCCTCCCTCCACCCTCCCTCCATCCTCCCTACTCCCTCCTCCCTCTTCCCTCCTCCCTCCCCCTCCCCCCTCCCCCTTCCCTCCCACTCCCTCATCCCACCTCCCTCCTCCCTCCCCAGTCCTCACTCCTCCACACTTACACAATCTGAATACTACTTTCCTCTCCCTTGGTGGCGTCCGGGAAATATTCGGCCCGCTCCGCGTATTTTTTCACACACAGGATGCCCGGGAGTTGGGTTTTCGCTTGGGTTGCTTTCCCAAATGCTGCTCTCGCCGAAGCGCTGACCTCATTTTCGGGCTACCGCTCGTTCCGAATCTTGCTCCCGCTGCAGCCCTGGCCTCATTTCCGCGCTTCCGCTCGTTCCGAATCGTGTTCCCGCTGCAGCGCTGGCATCATTATTTCAAGTGCCATGCCACGGCATGGTTTTCGGTCCTTCCAAATAAGCCCCAAAATCTAGAAAATGGCCTCCCGACAAAAACCATCGGAAGCGATTACACATTCAGTGTCGATTCGCCGATGCTTTGGGCCGCAGAACCCCCCCACTCTGGGGCGTCGCCACGTCCTGCTATGACAGGCTACGCATTCTCATCTCCGCCTTTCCGCGCTTGGTCTGTTGTTCAAATTGCTGCTCTCGCTGAAGCGTTGGCCTCATTTTCGAGCTACCGCTCGTTCCGAATCGTGCTCCCGTTGCAGCGCTGACCTCATTTCCGCGCTTCCGCTCGTCCTGAATTGTGTTCCCGCTGCAGCGCTGGCGACATTACTTCCAGTACCATGCCACGGCATGGTTTTCGGTCCTTCCAAGTAAGCCCCAAAATCTGAGAACACAAAACCTCCCGACAAAAACCATCGGAAGCGATTACACGTTCGGTGTCGACTCGCTGATGCTTTGGGCCGCAGAACCCCCCCCTTTGGGGCGTCGCCACGTCATGCTATGACATGCTACGCGTTGATCTTCAACACCATGTCACGTAATGCTACACCATGTCATGCTATGACATGCTCCGCGTTGATCTTCAACACCATCGGAAGTGATCACCACGTCATGCTATGGCATACTACTCATTGATCTTCGACACCATGGCATGCCATGTAATGCTATGCCATGTTGCGGCTGCGACATCCGATTGTGCGAATAGAGAAGAGATCTACACCATGGAAAGGGATTGGAAGGAGGTGTAGGACGTCAGATATGGCGCGAGCGAACCTAGCTTGCCCCTCCCCCCTCCCTCCTCCCTCCTCCCTCATCGCTCTTCCCTCCTCCCCCTCCACCCTCCCTCCTCCTCCTCCCCCCCTCCCACCCTCCCTCATCCCTCCCCCCGCCTCCCTCCTCCCTCCTCCCTCCTCCCTCCACCCGCCTCCCTGCTCCCTCCTCCCTCTCTCGCCTCCCTCCGCCCTCCCCCTCCTCCCTCCTCCCTCCTCTCGCCTCCCTCCTCCCTCCTCCCTTCCTCCCTCTTCCCTCCCCCCTCCCCCTCCCCCCTCCCCCCATACTCCGTCCTCCGTCCTCCTCCTCCCTCCTCCCTGCCCCCTCCCCCACAATTACACAATATGAAAACTACATTCATCGCTCCCCTGACGACGTTCGGAAGATATCTGGTCTCCCTCCGCGTACTCTTTTTTTACAAACAGGATTCCCAGTCGCTTGGGCTGTTTGTTTTACTGTTGCTCCCGCCGAAGCGCTGGCCTCATGTTCGAGCTTCCGCTCGTTCCGAATAGTGTTCCCGCTGCAGCGTTGGCCGCATTTCCACGCTCCCGCTCGCTCCGAATCGTGTTCCCGCTGCATCGCTGGCCTTCCTTCCAAATGGATACAAATTTTAGGAAAGAAATGCCCCCCCCCCTCCCCCCGAAAAAACCATACGAAGTGACCATCCGAAGTGATTCCACATTCGGTATCGATTCGTTGATTTGGGGAGCCGCAGAACCCCCCCTTTGGTGCGTTGTCGCTCTCAGCAAGTATCAAGCGTGAGCCCCGTTTTGCTTTGATAAGGCGATGCTGAAGGCAGAGCCAGCGGGTGCCCTCCGTCATTCCCGCCTTGTGTGGAGCTTTCCGGGGAGCCCAAGGAGCTAGACATGGAGCCACGACTCCAGACCAGCCCAGACCTCTCGAAGACGATGCACTTGCCTTCGAAGGAACCTGGCGCCATGCAATGACATGATATGAGGTGTTGTGTTCTGCGCCGCTGTGCGATACCATGCGTTGCGTTGCAATGCTTTGTCATGCAATGCGTCACTGCGCAACGCCACACCATGCTATGGCATGCTACGCTCTGCCGTGCTCTTCTACGCCATGCCATGCCGTGCTCTACCATGCATCGCGTACCCTCTCGCGATTATTGCCCTGCTCGACATCAACCGGTGCAAATGGAGAGGAAGTCTACGCCATGGTAGGGTATGGGAGGGAGGGGTAGGACGTCAGATATGGCGCGAGCGCACCTAGCTTGCCCCTTTCCTCCTCCTTCCTCCTCCTCCCTCCTCCCTCCTCCCTCGTGCCCCCTCCCTCCTCCCTCCTCCATTACCCCTCCTCCCTCCTCCCTTCCTCCCTTCCTCCCTCCTCCCTTCTCCCTCCTTCCCTCCCTCCTCCTCCTCCTCCTTCAACCCTCCCTCCCTCCCTCCCTCCCCCCGTCCATCTCTACATCCATGCATTCCTCCCTCCTCCTCCGCCTCATCCTCATTCCTCCTCCTCCTCCTCCTCCTCCTCCTCCTCCTCTCCTGCTCCTCCTCCTCTGCTCTCCTCCTCCTCCTCCTCCTCCTCCTCCTCCTCCTCCTCCTCCTCCTCCCTCCTTCCTCCTCCTCCTCCTCCTCCTCCTCCTCCCCCTCCTTCTCCCCTGGTCAATCCCATACTCGTCTGACTCTGCCGCTCTCCCCCTTCCAGGCTGGCCGCCTGCCGCGGCCTCGGGCGCGCCCGCGGGGTCGGCGGCGCCCTGGGGAGGGGCGCTACCCGGTGGGGCGCGCTCCGCCGCTCCGCCGCCCCGCCCTCCTCTCCCAGAGGGCCCTGTCGGCGAGCAGCCAAGACGAAGGCAGGATGCGGACAAGCCCTCCTCCTCCTCCTCCTCCTCCTCTCGTCCTCCCTTCTCCTCCCTCCTCCTCCTCCTCCTCCTCCTCCTCCTCCTCCTCCTCCTCCTCCTCCTCCCTCCTCCCCTCCTCCTCCTCCTCCTCCTCCTCCTCCTCGCACCTCTCGGGGTGGCAGCCGTCGCCGGGCGCCAGGGCCTCATTCGTAATAAAGGGAGGGGGGTCTCATTTCGGGGGGGGTCTCTTCCAGGCCATCTTGGAGGGCCTGGGGGGGTCTGGGGACGGTGTCTGGGAGGGTTCTCCCACGAGGGGGGGGTCTGAAATGGCTTGTCTTGGAGGGTCCAGACCCCCTCCCTTTTATTACGAGATCTGGAGTACTACGAAGGCAGGATGCAGATAAACCCGAATGAGGGTACGTACAGCAGGAATCCTCTGAAATACGGCGGATCTGGGGGTGTCGATGACCTCGGCCCAAGTGGACACGGGGTCCTGGTGGAAGTGTCGGGGAGACGTAAGACCTGGGTACAGAGGACTCGGAAGTACCCGACGAGACCGTCAAAAAAAAATGACGAGGCCGAGCCTGCATTTTGACGAGGCCTCCCGCTGCAGACATCCCACGAAACTCCTCCTCGTCAAAATCCGAGGCGCGGTCGTCAAAAAACGATGGCGAACACGAGTCCTGGCAAACCCGGGTCTTACGCTCCCCCGATAAGACGAAGGCAGGATGCGGATAAGCCCGAATGAGGGTACGTACATCGGGAATCCTCTGAAATACGGCGGAGTTGGGGGCGTGTCGATGACCTCGGCCCAAGTGGACAAGGGGTCCTGGTGGAAGTGGGTCCTGGGCCCAGGGGCCTCCCCCCCGGAGGCCAAGGCCAGCTTTTCGTCCAGAGTAGTTTGTTGGACGGCCCCGAAGGCCGAATACTGCGACAGAGCGCCAGGGCCATCTTCATTCAGGACCCCTTTCCTGCTTGGCGGGGCATGGCGGGCAGCAGGGACCTGCAGCAGGGATGCAGGGAGGCGCGGAAGCAGCAGCTGGGCATCGCTTGACCAATCCCGATACCAACTGGCGTGGCTTGGCCACACTGGCCGATTAACCCCCTAGATGGGGATATAGGCTGCTACCTTCGTGTTTCAAGGGGCCTATCCCCAACTGGGGATAGGGGTGGGTTAAACGATACTGAGCAGCGGCGGCGGCAGCAGCGGCGGCGGCAGCATGGGCGGCAGCATCAGCTGCGGCACAGCGGCAGCAGCGGCGTCGTGAAAGGATCCGCAGCGGCGGCTGCAGCCAGCCGGTGGGCGCGCGGGCGCGCGGACTCCCAGCGCCCCCGCGGCCTCGGCGAAGGCGGTGTGCCGGAGCAGATAGCGCCCGCCTGGCCCGACGCCGAGGGCTGGCGGCGAGCACCACGCCGACGTCGACGTCGCAGTCGCCGCCGCCGCCGCCGCCGTCGCGCCGCCGTCGCGCGACGCCAACGGGGATCACGAGGGCGAGGACAGCGAGGAGGCCGAAGGCAGAGCCGCCCGCGAGGCTCGCGCCGTGTGCGCGTCGCGCACGACGTTAAAGTCGTCGTCGACGTCGTTGTCGCTGTCGCTGTCGTCGTCGTCGTCGTCGTCGTCGTCGGCGTCGGCGTCGGCGTCGGCGTCGGCGTCGTCGTCGTCGCCTGAGCCCATTCGCCCGCCTTCGGCCTCGGCCTAGGGCGGCTGGCCGCTGGCAACGCGAGCCCTCCTCTCCCCCGAAGGTTGCCTGTCCGATTGGCGGCGAGCAGATCAGGAGAAGTCGGCATCGAATCGGGAAATCAGATCGGAACGTAACGTGGCACGGATCGGGCTGCATCGGCACGGAGTCGAAATGGAATCGGAGCGGCTGCTCTCATGCACAGCTGCGCCATGCAGGCATCGGGCCGCATCGGATCGTCGGAATAGCAAAATCGAATCGGATCGGGCAGGCTATGAATAGGTATCGGATCGGATCGATCGGATCGAAATGAACCCTGCAAGGCCGATCAGCAGCATCTGGGGGAACTGCGGTCCTTCGTGCACATGGCAGGGGCCCATCGTGGAGTCAGGGCTGCTTGCAGAGGACACCCGAGACGATATGGATGCACGACTGTCCGAGGGCTGCCAGATGGTCCAGACATGAAGAAGACACGAAGCGCGATAGGCAGAACACACGGGCACACTTAATGTTGCAGGTGTCTGCTTGCTAGTCAGACGGCGACGGCTGGTTTCGCCGACGGCTGGTTTCGCCCGCCTTGCTTCGCCGACGGCTTGCTTCGGCGACGTTGGTTTCGCCGACTCGCCCGCTGGTTTCGCCAGGCTGGCTTCACCGACCCGCCCGGCAGGGCCCAGTCCGCTCGCACGCCCGTTGGGGTCCCTCCACTTCGAGTGCTGGCAAGCCCGCCCGCTTTAATGTCCCGCCTCCCCGCCCGACCCGACCGTGAGGGTCCAGCCCGCCGCGGGCCCCTGTCGAAACCAGCCGCTGGCGAAACCAGCCCCGGCGAAAGTAGCAGTCGGCGAAACCAGCCCAGGGCGAAACCACCCACGGCGAAACCAGTCCCGGGCGAAACCAGCGCCGGCCAAACCAACTCATGCCAGTGCGTCGACCATCTCTCGAGAGGTATCCAAGTCGATGGGCCCCCAGAGGCGGCAAGGACATCATCCCCCACAGTTTGGGTGGTTCTGCAAAGGGTTGAGTGAGGGTGGAGGGCCTCGACATCGATTTGCCCCGTGCATCCTAAGAAGCAGTGCGCCTTCATGAAAGGCCGCCCCCTTCGTTTTGCCGCCCCTTAGTCGCGCGCCATCAAAATAGGGCCAAGCGGCCAAATATCATTAATCTTCGTTGATGTAGCGAGCCAAGGAACCAATCGCGATCCAAAGACTGAGACCCTTGCGGCAGTAGGGCCTACACAGCTTCCCAAAGGGACATTGCAGTCCACCTCCTGGCCATTACGATTACTCGCACAAATACGACTACAACTACGACTACTACTACGACTACTACTACTACTACTACTACTACGGCTACTACTACGACTACTACTACTACCACTACTACTACTACTACTACTACTACTACTACTACTACTACTACTACTGCTACTACTGCTACTACTACTACTACTTCTACTAGTACGACTAGTACGACTACGACTACGACTACGACCACGACTACTACTACTACTACTACTACTCCTACTACTTCTACTTCTACTTCGTCTACTACTACTACTACTACTACTACTACTACTACTACTAATACTACTACTACTATTACTAGGACTAGTACTAATACTACTACTACTACTACTACTACTAC